TTGTTTTTAAAAACTCTTTTTTTTTTTTTTGAGTAGGTCAGTGAGGCAGTTTCATTAGTCCTAGTTGTCCTGGGCCCTGGTATATAGATCAGGCTGGCCCAGAACTTACAGTGATCTTCCTTCTCCAGCCTCTTGAGTTCTGGAATTCTGATTATGCAGCCAGCTTGGTGACTGAATAAACCAACAACTTTGTATATGCAAAACAAAACAAAATTCACTTAGTATTTTAATAGATATTTTCATGTTTAATAAAGCCCTGGCTATGGTTGCTTGACTATATTATTCATGATTTAAAAGCCCACAATCATTTGAAAGTAACTTTTTGCATTTTTATTACAGGTAAACTGGGATATTCACATTGTACAGAAACAGAGGTAAGAGAAATATACAAATATTTATGTAAAACAGCTTATATGTGTTGGGATGACCTGAGTAGTGAACTATTGCCATGGGCTTCTCAGTTTTCAGGTTAGGTTATATTGAGAACAGATACATATCTTCTCTGTTCAGGAAGAACAGATGTGAAAAGAACCTGTCCTCTTGTCTACAACATGAGAAGAAACAGCTTAAACATAGCTTATTTCCTGTATATAAAATTACTTAACATCCAGAGCCCCGAATAAGAAGTATTTTAAGAGAAGTTTATTTTGTTTTTTCGTAATACAATCTGGTATATCATAATAATAACGTGCTTGAGTATGAGAACCTCCACAGTGCTTCTTTAGCAGAACAAAAATTAGGATATGGGCATTGCTCCAGTGAGAAGAAGAATGTGAAAGGCTTCCTTTCTCCCTTCCTTTCTTTTTTCTTCCTTCCTTCCTTTCTTTTTCTTTTTTGGTTTTTTAAGACAGGGTTTCTCTGTGTAGCCCTGGCTGTCCTGAAACCTACTTTGTAGACCAGACTTTAAAGAGATCCACCTGCCTCTGATTCCCGAGTGTTGGGATTAAAGGCACACACCACCACTGCCCAGCTTGCTTGGTTATTTATAAACAAAGGTTCATGATTTTAAGATAATTTTGATAATTTTATTCCATATTTTTATGTGAAATTTCTTGTGATTGTTTGTGTTCCTTTCAAGGATAACATTAGATGTCAGGCTGCCTATGTGAGTGCCATTCTATCTGGTAGCAGAACAGCATTCTTAGACTAGAGTGTTATCAACCTTGTTAATGCCTAAGTGTTTAAGAAATTGTGTGTCTACTTTTATAATACATCTGGATATTGATAATGGCTTTCAGTAAATTTTAACATATTTTATGTAAAATGCAAATTTCTTTAAAATGATATTATATAAATCAAAAATCATTCTTTTTAAATTCAATTTATTTTTATATTTTCTACTCAACTTTGAAGGTACAAATATATTTTCTAAATTAGTTTTTAAATGAATTAAAGTGTAATTAGGCTTTTTGTATTTTCCACACACTATAAGGTGTAGGATCAGTTGGAGTCAGAAGATAGAAGTTTGGTTGTAGTTTCAGGGTCTGTGAAATTTTGAGTGATGCACTTTTTCATCCCAGACCTAAGTCTATAAAATATTTAGGATAATTTCTGTTAAACTCATAGGGCCATGGAGCTGTAAAGAGAGAGTATCTGTGGAATATGTCATTAGCTCCCAAGGCACTGTTGTAAGTTAAGAGTATACTGACACGGTCTGTGTCCATCTGCATTTGGTACTGAATGTGGTCCTGGTGCAAGGCTTGTCCTAAGTCTCATCATTCTGTCCTGTTGTACTGCCATGAGGTGAGCATGGCTTAACACTGTTTCCTACTGGCAATGATGACTGTCAGACTACTTGCAGAAGCAAACATGAGAGCTGGCTGTCCATTCCTAAGGCCATTATAAATTTAGAAAGTTGTAAAAAAAAAAAAAAAGGTGCTTTTAATATTTTTTGTTAAACAATAGTTTTTTCTTCCTTAAAAGTGTTATTTATATTAATGTGTTCAGGTTAAAGTCGTTAACTTAGTATCTTTAATTTTTTTTGTTTTGATTTCTAGCATTGTGAACACTAGTAGTTTACATGATGCATCCATAATTGCTCTTTAGCAGCAATTATTATTATTTTAAAGAGGTTGGAAAGCCAGGTGCTGTTGGGGTGAAGAGCACCTGCAAGTGCTACTTGGTCCTGAGAAGATGGAGTTGAGGGAAGAGAGGAAGCCAGAGCCCTGAGGCAGCAGTGTGAAGTCACTACGGGGATGGGGATGGGGAGGGGCATATAAAAGCTAGTTTGTACTGGGCTGGGATTCTTTTTTTGAGAGCCTGTCTTGGTTGCTGAGTTGACTTTCTCTTAAGGAAGGAGACTCCCATATCCTAGTGTGAGGCAGAAGCTTTTCGTGCTCTCACTGGCGGAAAGTCCAGACTAAGAATGTATGGAGCTAGCTGTGTCAGACTACTTGTCTGAGCTAATGAGTGGGTGGTGGTGGTGTCGGGGTGGAAGGGGTGGTCTGTGCCCTCTCCTTCCAGCTTTCTAGAGTCCTCAGCCACAGTGGGTTCCTGTGAAGAAGGGCTGGATGAAGATGGACCATGCCTTGATGTAGCACGTTGTTATTTTTCCTTGGAAGGGATCAGGAAGATCCTGATTCCTAAGCAAGGTTCATAGGCTAATGGAGGAAAATAAAATTCCCTTTTCTGAGGCTGAAAGAGCCTGATCAAAGCAATGTAGTCAGCATAGAGTTTTTATAGCACATAAAAACCATGTTAGGAATTATCTTTTAGTTTTTAAATATGAATTTTAGTTTATTCTTTGAGATTTCATAAATGTATATAATGTATTTTATCAAAGTCACTCTTACTGTCTTTCTCCAACTCCTCTTGGATCCCCTTCCTCCCCTGTCCTCAAGTCCCTTTAAATAAAAAAACAAAAAACCAAAAAAACAAAAAACAAAAAAACTGCTGAGATAATTTGTGCTGCCCTATGTGCGTGGATTTGAGTCCATCCACTGGGACATCAGTCTACCAGTGGCCACACCCTTAAAGAAAACTGACTTTCCCTGTGCTGGTTAGGTTTTGCTTCTTGTTGTTTGGTTGGTTAGTTGGTTTATTTTGTCATTTTGACATAAGCTAGGTTCATCTGGGAAGAGGAAACCTAAATTGAGAAATGCTTCCATCAGATTTTCTTGATTAATGATTGGTGTGGGAGTGTCACTGGGCAGTGACAACCCTGGGCAGATGGTCCTCAGTTGTATAAACAGGCTGAGCAAGCCATGAGGGGCAAGCCAGTAAGCAGTGTTCCCCTGGGGTCTCTGCTTTAGTTCCTGTTCCTGGTTGAGCTCCTGCCCTGACTTCCCTTCGTGATGTAAGTGATAAGATGAAATAAACCCTTCCTCCCTTGCTTTCGGTTATGTTTATCACAACAATAGAAAGTAGAATATTTCCCTAGCAGCCATCAACTGTCAATAAATCTTCAGCCAGAGGCAGAAGCTTATAAGCCCTTCCTCTCGGCCCATGTGAAATGTCAACTGGCTGAATCTTGTGCAGGTCCTGTGCAGGCAGCCACAGCTGCTGAGTTCATGAGTGCGGCTGCCCTGTCATGTCCAGAGGACACCTTTCCACCCTGTTTCTCAAGGACCTCCAGGTCTTACTTTTTCTGTGGTACTCACTGGACCTTATGGGAAGAGTGCATGATAGAGATATCTCATTTATGGCTGAGCACACTGCAGATATGTGTTCCTGTGCTTTGACCACAGTATACTATACAAGGAAGCTTCTCAGACGAGGGCTGAAAACACTTGTCTATGGTATAGGGGTGTGTATTTAAAGGACAATTTGGTACTATGACTATTTGATGAAATATTAGTAAGGTCTCTCCTAGTGCTTGTGAGCTCACTGGCCATGAGTTTATGCTTAGATTATTGTACCAGGGCGCTGGGTTTCCTCCTGTGGAAAGGCCTTAAATGTAGTATAAAGTGCTGGCTACTCTACTAACATTCCTGCTAACTATTGCACCCATGAGGATATCAATCTTGCATATGCTGGCCATTATTTGTGGCACCCAGGGTTCACAGCTGGGTAAGAGTGTTGCTGGCATCCCTACGGCAGCTTGCAGATCACTTTCTGGTACCATTAGAGCTAGCCACTAGGGAGGAAGCTTCAAGATGAGCACTAGCTTGATGCCCTGTGGTCACTGTGTGGTGTCTTCAGCAATAGGGTCTTACCTACCAGGGAGTTTGGGAAGACATGTAGAAGCAATGGCAGTATCTAGGGTTGTTTGGGGTTATGCCTTAGGGGACACACACAGTGCCCCACCCCATTCCCATTAGTTTTTGTTTTGTTTTGTTTTGTTGTTGTTTTGAGGCAGGGTCTCTTTATGTAGCCATGGCTGCCCTGAAACCCTAAGTAGACCAGGTTGGCCTTAAAGTCACAGAGATCTGTCTGAATTTGTCTTCTAAGTGCTGAGATTAGAGGAGTGTGCCACTATGCCCAGCTGGTTAGTTTTTTGTTAACTTGATTCTAGCTAGGTTCTGGGAAGAGGAAGTCTAAATTAAAACGTCTCCATCAGATTCCCCACAAGTCTGTGGGGAATTTTCTTATTAATGATTGGTGTGGGTAGTGCTACTCCTTGGCATATGGTTCTGGGAAGATTAAGAAGTGTAGCTGATATTGAACCTAGGAAGCAAGCCAGTAAACAGCATTCCTCTATAGCCTCTACTTCCGTTTCTCCCCTGACTTCCCTTCGTGATGGACTATAAACTGTAAGCGACAATAACTCTTTCTTCCTGAAGTTGCTTTTGGTCATGGTCTTTTATCACAGCAACAGAAACTTAGCTAAGACACCCCCTCCCAACAGCTAAGGGAAGGTAGGTGTTCCTTACTGCACTGGACTTCTTATTAGTCAAACTATGGCTTCTGGGAGCTCGTAATCTCCCATGTAGTATAATTCTCATTTAATCCCCCCTACCTGGCCTCTGTGTGTGTGGGGGTGGGGGGGAGAGAAGCTTATAAAACGGGAAGTTTCCTTTTGTGTGTTTAGACATTAAACATACTGTGTCTTGTCTCTTTTCTGCTCTCTTCTGCTCTCACCGGCCCCAGCCTCTTGTTTTTACTATAATTCCTTCTTTTAAATTTATTTTATTTGTGGATGTTTTACATTTATGTACTTATTTTGTGTGTGTGCTCACACATGTTTGTAGAGATCATTTTTGAGAGTCATTTCTCCTTCTGCTATGTGGTTTCTGGAGGATCAAACTCAGGTAGTCAGGACTGGTAGCACGTACCTTTAATAATGGAGCTATCTTGCTGGCCCCTGTAATTTTCTTTTTAATACTTTTCCTAATTCATAGAAACCAAAGTGAAATTGAGCATAAAGAAAGCCAGGAGAGTATATATAGCTATTCAGTCAAGCCTTTTTCCTTAAGGCAATCTGGTATATCTTTAG